TCTAACCTGTCCCTGCCAGAATGGCAACCATCCTCATCTGCTTCAGATATGACAGGCTGGATCTACATTGCCCTATATCCCAAGATCTGATCACTATCTGCTTCGACCTGGATTATATGAGTCTACACTGCCAGATATCTGGGGGCCCTTCCACACAGCCATATAACCCAGAATATCAAGGCAAAAAATCCTGCAATATCCGCATTTATACTGGGTTATCTGAGTCCACACTGCCATGTATTCCACTTCAAAGCAGAAAATGTGGGATTTTTTTCAGCTGTGTGGAAGGGGCCTGGGATAAACTGGGATCAGATCTTGGAATATAGGGCAGTGTATATCCAGCCTTAAGTAAAATCTGTGGATAGATAAAGTCCTGCTAGCACATGGGTTTAACCCATTTCGCCACTGGGGGCTCACACAAGGTGGAAAAGGGGGAGATGGTCCCTTCACCAGGGCAAGAACACATAAAGCCCCCCTGACAAAGAGCCATCCAGCCATAGATATAGATAAATATATATGATTCACACACACACACACACACACACACACACACACACACACACACACACACACACACGTGTTTATGACAAATAATAGATGTGAAAGTGACCCCTAAAGGAGGACAATTATATGTTGCATGTTCCAGGATAGGCAAACCAACCTTTACATCAGCACTAACAAAGAAACAACAAGAAATACTGTTTACTCACGAGGATAGAGAAATTACATATATTAGAAACCAGCACTTTCTCATTACTTTATTTTCCAGATCACCAGACTGGGCCACAGCGACGCGTGGCAGGGGACCGCTAGTATTCTCTAAAAACATTCGCAATCTGTCTTCTAAATTTTATAGGATGGTTGGCTTTCTGTTTTTCATGTTCTGAAATGGTCTTTTTTTAGACAGCCCCTCTGGATTTTAATGTTTTAAACTCCTGTTCTGCGGCCTTCTAATAAAATTCATTCAACCTGTCCTTCTCAGCCTGGCTGATCTAGTGATCCTCTGTTTCTGGGAGGACCTTCCTTTCTGCCTGGAGAGAAAGAGAGCTCAGGCTGGTGCTCCTGAGGGCAAGGAAGGAGGCATTTGGAGTCGGGTGTTAGTGAAAGAAGAAGCAAGGTGCCCAGGCACAGAGAGGGCTTCCCACTTCACGTCGAGTGGCTGGGAGAAGCAAACCTGTAGCAAGCCTACACCTCCCAGGGAAGGAGGAGTAGGCTTGCTTCCCTCCGTGGTGTCTCCCTTTCCAAAATTTGGGGAAGCCGGGGCAGCATCTCAGGCGGAGGCTGCAGCCCGTCCAGCCTCCCTCCACATTCCTCGGGTCTGGGCCGAAACGCTGATGAGCCGAGAAGCCTCCGAGATAATATTACTTTGTAATTACTTTCTAGCCCAAGTTGTTTAACTGGCTCCAAGTAATTAATGAAAGTGGGTGTCTAAACGCCTGATTTACGAGAGGGTGTCACCTTCGGGTCAACAGAGACGATTCTTTGCCATCAGGATCCGCTCCGTTCCCTTTTCTTTTTCCCCCTGTTTGTTATTGTTCGAGGGAGCAATTTTCACTTAAAGGAGGAGGTTATTTTTCATTTAACGGCGTGCCATTTTTATTGCAGACGCTTCGGAAAGTCGGTCTTATAAAACAAGTGAGGAGTGTTCGGGAGCGAGAGATTAAAGGGCAACGTTTACGTGTGAAACTGCAGGCGGGTTGGCGCAACAAGGCGGGGAGGGGGGTGCTCTGAAAACAACCCCGAGTTCCTGGCTTGTACCTACCTGCCGAAATAGAGTCAGCCCTCCACTTTCACTGGGTTAGGGGAGCAAGACCCCCGATCAAGTTAGGAAAACACACACACAAAACAAATACACGCTAGGAATCTCTCTAGGTCTTGCAGTACAACTCTAGAAATGGCGGATCTAGAAATCCCTGGAGATAACATATTAATCCAATCCACAAAAAGTAAACCCGTAAATACACTGGGCTTCATCACACTTGAGAATGAGTCCACTGTAAATCCGGTTTCTTCCTCCTGCAGAATTCTGGGGTTTGCAGTTTAGGGAGGAGCCTTTAACAGGCCCAGTAAACTACAGACACCAGAATTCAGGTAGGATTAATATATCTGTGTTATTGTGATAATTTTACATTTATGTTGTTTTGTCAATTTTATGTTTATGTTGTTTACTCTGTATGTTTTGGTGTTGTTACTTGGAAACCGCTCTTAGTCCCCTCGGGGAGATAGAGCAGTATATAAATAAAGTATTATTATTATTATTATTATTATTATTATTATTATTATTATTATTATTATTATTATTATTCTGCAGGAGGCAGAAACAGGATTTAAAGTGGATTCATTCTCTAATGCGACGAAGTAGTCATGGGGAGCCAGTCCCACTTTAGCTGTGGGGTGAGGTTTAAAACTTGCAGCCTATATAACTCTCCCCCAAAGTCCCAAAACCCTCTTCAGGCTCTATATCCCACTTTGGCTATATCATGAGGAGACCTAGAATGGTATCCAATGTATCATTCTACTGTGTTGTCGAAGGCTTTCATGACCGGTTGCTGTGAGTTTTCCGGGCTGTATGGCCATGTTCCGGAAGCATTCTCTCCTGACTTTTCTCCCACGTCTATGACAAGCATCCTCAGAGGTTGTGAGGTATATTGGAAACTAGATGGCATGTAGAGGCAAAAAAAGCCAATGGGATTTTGGCCTGCATAACTAGGAGCATAGTGTTTAGATCTAGGGAAATTATGCAACCCCACTATTCTGCTTTGGTTAGACCACACCTGGAATACTGTGTTATTAATAATATTATATTATGTTATTAATAATATTATTAATTATTATTATTAAATAATAATAATTTATACCCGGCTTTATCTCCCCTAAGGGGACTCAAAGCCGCTTAACACAAACAGACTCGGAACAATGGCTTCAAACTACAGGAAAGGAGATCCCATCTGAACATTAGGAAGAACTTCCTGACTGTGATAGCTGTTCAGCAGTGGAACTCTCTGCTCCGGACTGTGGTGGAGGCTCCTTCTTTGGAGGCTTTTAAACAGAGGCTGGATGGCCATCTGTTGGAGGTGCATTGAATGCGATTTTCCTGCTTCTTTGCAGGGGGTTGGATGGCCCACGAGGTCTCTTCCAACACAATGATTCTAGGATTCTAGATTTGCAATGCTGATCAAGGTGATTAATTGCAACATTCACAGACAAGAGTTTTTTCTCCCACCCTGGACCTTCAACAGATAAATAAACTTCCCTTGCCTAGTTTCCAACACACCCCTCAACGTCTGAGGATGCCTGCCATATATGTAGATGTAACTTCAGAAGAGAATGCTTCTGGAACATGGCCATACAGCCCGGAAAACTCACAGCAACTTATCATTGTATTATTTGTCCGTATAAGGAGGAGACACATAAGAAAAGGCAACAATGCATCGTAAGGTGGAACACATTGCCGGTGGGCGAACTCAAGCAAAGAAGGCCGCAAGACCTGATGACAGGTTGACTTGGAGGTCTCTCATTCATAGGGGCGCCATCACTGGACAACAACGAACAGGGATTTTCTCCTGATGTCTGATATATAGCCTTGCTCCATAATAGGTTCATGGTGCTACATCTCCTCCTTTGCCTGAGCATTTGCTTTTCTTTCCCCGCTTCATATTCCCAAGGAGACAGAGAAGGATTTTTACTGTCAGGATCTCTACCAAAATAAAGAACACAGAGAAGTAGCCGGAGTTGGTTGTCTTGCAGGAGAAGTCATTCGCCTTGTAGGCCTCCAATTGGAAGGGGTTTCTCTTAACCACAAGGTCGTGTCCTTTTACCGGGAACTAAAGTGTGGTTTTGTGGTGAGAAAGAGGAACGGAGCCTCTGAACACTCCCTTAGAGAGACTTCAACTCCCTTTCTTAACACTTTAAAAACTAATACAAGTTGACATCCCTTTAACGGTCATGGCTCAATGTTAGGGAATCATGGGAATTGTAGTTTTACAAGGTCTTTAGCCTTTAGCCTTCTGGCCAAAGAATACTGGTGTCTTATCAAACTGCAAATCCTAGCACCGAGCCATGTCAGTGAAAGTTTGGTATTGAATGTTTGCCATTGTGTTTATTTTGTTGGAAACTGCCCTGAGTCCCTTGGGGAGATAGGCCGGTCTACAAATAAAGAACAACTCCTCCTCCTCCTCCTCCTTACTCCTCCTCCTCCTCTCCTTCTGCCTTCTTCCTTCTCCTCTCCTCTCCTTCCTCCTCCTCCTCCTCCTTCTCTTCTTCTTTTTCTTCTTCCTCCTCTCCCTCCTTCTCCTTCTCCTTTTTTCCTCCCCCTTCTCGCCTTCTTCTTCCTCCTCTTCTTCTTCTCCTTCTTCTTCTTCTTCTTCCTTCTCCTCCTCTCCTTCTTTTTCTTCTTCTTCCTCTTCCTCCTCCTCCCCTTCTTTCTTTTTCTTTTTCTTTTTCTTTTTCTTTTTCTTTTTCTTTTTCTTTTTCTTTTTCTTTTTCTTTTTCTTTTTCTTTTTCTTTTTCTTTTTCTTTTTCTTTTTCCTCCTCCTCCTCCTCCTCCTCCTCCTCCTCCTCCTCCTCCTCCTCCTCCTCCTCCTCTCCTCTTCTTCTCCTTAAGTGGTATCAAACTGCATTCATTCTCCAGAGCAGATGCACCCTGCAACTCCCAAGCCTGCTGGGGAATTCTGGGAGTGATACCCAAAGCATTTTGCCATGTTTTCAAAGGTGGGGGGAAAGGGCTACCTTTCGCCAGATGGGCTGGGCTTAGCAAGTGCGCAAAGCCCGGCTCCCACCGCAAGGCTCTATTTCGGTCCTTCCTCTTCCTCTCTCTCTCTCTGGGTCTATTTGGGTTCATTGCTCTGGGCAGTAGAAAGAAAAAGCGGGGGCTTCAGGTATCCGACGCCTTGGAGAGGAGGCCTTTTTGTTGTCGCAGGAAGCCCAGAGACGGCGGCAGGGCGAGTTCAAGGGCAGGCGCTTCAACTCCCGGTTCCTGACCATCTTTGTTCTCTTGGCAGGTTACGGCACAGTGGCCTTTGATGGGACTCCAAGCTACGGCCACACTCCCTCGCACCACGCGGCCCAGTTCACGAACCACTCCTTCAAACACGAGGACCCCCTTTCCATCGGCCAGCAGACCTCTCTAGGTAAAGGCAACAGGAAAAGTCTTTGGGCCCAGGCTGGGGAGGGAGTCGCTTTCCTTCCCAGGAAAAGAAGCCTAGCTTAGCAATGGACAGGCACATACGTCTCTCAGGGAGCATCTACATCAGGCATGGGCAAACTTTGGCCCTCCTTCTCTCACAACAGAAGCAATTTGCATTTCTCAGGTCGTTCCTGACAAGAAAAAAAAATCAACTATATTACCTAAAATACTTGTTGGATGAATAAAATCACAGGACAGACACAGTTCCCCTTTAAAAGGCTTGCGTGTATGTGCAGTCCTCCTGGAGTTTATGAGACTTCAGCAGCAAAGTTCTAGATATGTCAATTCAGAAGCGTACAACCTTTTCAGCCAATGGGATGTCTTCCTAGTCAAGTGTATGTGATACTGTATATAGGTGTACACTGACCTTTAACCAGTTTTCGTTATAACATTGAAGGCCCTTCCATACAGCCCTATATCCCAGAATATCAAAGGAGAAAATCCCACAATATCTGCTTTGAACTCCATTATTTGAGTCCACACTTCCATATATTTCAGTTCAAAGCAGATATTGTGGGATTTTCCAGCCTTGATATTCTGGGATATGGGGCTGTGTGGAGTTTCTGTGTGTTGCAGTTTCTCAAGTCACTTCATGGAAAAAAATATATGACACTGCTCATTCTCTGGGGAAGGAAAGTAACCTTGAGGAGGGTTAGTGGGTGATTTTTTTCTGGTTTGTCTGCAGGTGACCAGCAGTATTCAGTGCCTCCTCCTGTCTATGGCTGCCACACCCCCACGGACAGCTGCACGGGGAGCCAGGCTCTGCTCCTCAGGAACCCTTACAACAGGTAAGAAGCCATTCCTCAGTCATGTTGACTCTACTGTCTTCCCCTCAACCTTCTGGCCTGCATTCCATCTCTCCAGCCTTGGCACAATAAGACTAAGGCCTCATCTACGCTGCCATATAAAATCCAGATTATCTGCTTTGAACTGGGTTGTCTGGCAGTGTAGAAGGGGTTCCCCGAAGACAGTGATGTGGGTGTGCTCTCCCCCACTTCTCCCTCCCCCCCACCCTGCCCCATCTTATTTATACAAAATATGAATTGTATATTTATATTGTAGTTTTCAGCTTCCAAGAACAGAAGGAACACCCAATTACACCCCATAAATTCCTTAATGAATAGAACATATCATAGAAAACTCTTGCTTTCAAGTTTCAATGGCTTTGGTCATCTAGATCGGGGTGGGAGAGAAACAGATTTGGTGAAATTATTTTGTAATTTTTCAAAGTTATAATATTTCTAATGTCAAAGAAACCTGTTGGCAGGTTTATAATCTGGTAAAAGTGTAATTTGGAAAAAAATCTGTTTATAGGAAGAGTAATAGATACTCTGCTTGTGGGCTTCCTACAGGTATTTGGTTGAAAGGGTATTGCTTCCAAAAGCAATACCTGCCTAGAAGACCTCTTTTTAAGTTTGTCTCTGGGCCTTTCCACACAGACCTATATTCCAAAATATCAAGGCAGAAAATCCCACAATATGTGTTTTGAACTGGGTTATCTGAGTCCACACTCAGATAATGTGGGATTTTCTGCTTTGAAATCCTGGGATATAAGGGCTGTGTGGAAGGGTCCGCTTTGGTCTCCAGATGACAGTACAGGAATATGTATATAGTCTTGCCGATTTGAGAGGTTTTGTTTGGTGTGTGTTAGAGAAACATTTTACGCAATAATTCGTACAATCCATTGTACCACTTGGCCACGGTGACTGGGCTGATGGGTGCTGTAGTCCAAAACATTTTGAGGACAGGGTTGGCAGGCTGCTTAGCCCCTTGCTTCTGATCTCTCCCTTACTCTGCAATGGGATCTTTCTTTGTTGGGAAAAGTCTTTTTCAGAGGAGCAACTGTGCTGGACTAAATCCAGCAAAAACAATCAAGAGGAGACACTTCAGACTTGCAAGTCACAAACAGCCAGAAGATGGGCCTTAAAAATTCTCTACCGAGGGTCCTTCCACACAGCCCTATATTCCAGAAGATCAAGGCAGAAAATCCCACATTATCTGAATGTGGACTCAGACAACTCAGTTCAAAGCAGATATTGTGGGATTTTCTGCCTTGATATTCTGGGACATGGGGCTGTGTGGGAGGGCCCAGAGACAAACGTGCTGTATGGAATATGAATTTAATCTCTGGTTGACCACCTCTGCTAGAGTCAGGAATAACTAGGGCTCCTTCTACACTGCCATATCATCCAGATTATCAAATCAGATAATCCACATTGTCTGCTTTGTACTGGATTATGTGAGTCTACACTGCCATATAACCCAGTTCAAAGCAGATAATCTGGATTTTATATGGCAGTGTAGATAGGGTCTAGGTTTGGTGAGCACGGTTTTGCCTACTTTGCCTACAGTGAAGCCTTGGCTGTCTTGTCCTCTTGTCCATCTGAACTGCACAAATTATTATTATTATTATTATTATTATTAATAATAATAATAATAATAATAATTTATTTATACCCCACTTTTTCTCTCCACAAGGAGACTCAAAGCTTGCCACTCCCATTACATTGATGGGGAGTTTGATACTAAAATATCTTAGGCCCCTTCTACACTGCCCTATATCCCAGGATCCTATCCCAGATTATCTGATTTAAACTGTATTATATGAGTCTACACTGCCATATAATCCAGTTCAAAGAAGATAATCTCGATTTTATACGGCAGTGTAGATGGGATCTATGTCTGGTGAGCATGGTTTTGCCTATTTTGCCTACAGTAAAGCCTTGGCTGTCTTGTCCTCTTGTCCATCTGAACTGCACAAATTATTATTATTATTATTATTATTATTATTATTATTATTATTATTATTATTTATTCCCCACTTTTTCTCTCCACAAGGAGACTCAAAGCTTGCCGCTCTCATTAAATTGATGGGGAGCTTGAGACTAAAATATTTTAGGCCCCTTCTACACTGCTCTATATCCCAGGATCCTATCCCAGATTATCTGATTTAAACAACGAAGGACCGCCTAAGTAAGTATATGAGTCTCCACTGCCAGATAATCTGGGTTAAGATGATAATCTGGGATCAGATGCTGGGGTATAGGAACAGTGTGGAAGATGCCTTAGATACGACCATCTCGGAGATCTCTGACCTATCAGGGAGATGGAAAACTAGGGAGACTTTTGAATTAGGAACCCAAAGGAAATGAAGATAGCATGGCATGTTCCGTTCAGTGCCTGTTCAGTGCCTCATACCCCGCAACCTTAATCCTGCTCGGTGGCAAACGTCCATCTCCCTGACAGGGAGCAGAAGGGAGTTGACCGGGTCCTTCGGCACAGAATGACAGGGCGAAAACACGGCCCTTGAACAGGGCCTGGGCGTCTCTGGGAGAGAGACAGGCTCTGAAATGAATCCGTGTAAACGGTTTCTTCCTGGAAATAATAGCGCAACTGTGAGAACAGACCACAATGCTGTTTTAAATCTGTATTTCAAACAACCGGCAGTGTTTTGGTTTTGTCCAAATGCAGTAGTAGATGTAAGCCAAATCCTGGTGTGCGTAGAACCAATGGGGACCCCCCTGTCCTTGATTCCTGTGGGACGCGGGGGGGGGGGGGGATTCCCCATCAATCACTTTCGGCAGGCAGGAGAGGTTGGTCCTGCGGATGAACTTTCCCTCTATTTTCCCTACCGACCAGGGAAGCCAGGCTGGGAAGGCGACTTGCTCCAGAGTGCCTCCACCATGTGGTTCCTAAACAAACAAACACACTTCAGAGCTTTGAGGGCCTCCGACCTGTTTGTGTTGCTGTTGTCGCTTTTCCTTCGACCTGTTGGTGGAGGGGGAAGGGGAGGGGGAGGCCATCCCAGTTTATTCCTGAGTTTGTTGAAGAGCCAGAACCAAATCCGCCTCCCCTCCGCATCCCCCCCCCCCCTATGATTCAACTTTTGGTGAACTTGGAACCAAGCCACCTCTCTGGAGCTGCTAAGAAAATGCATGGACACGCAGCAACACACACTCACACACTGCGTCTCACAGCCTTGCTCAGGCCGCAGAATTGTTTTGTGCTACTCCAATTTATGGCCACCCCTTCATACTGCTTTCTTGGCAACATTTCTCCAGCTCGCCTTCCCCTGAGGATGGATATACACTGCCCTATATCCTAGGATCTGATCCCTGATTATCTGCTTATCCCAGATTATCTGGCAGTGAAGACTCAAATATTTTTGTCGTGTCAGGAGCAACTGCAAGTCACTTCTGGTGTGAGAGAATTGGCCGTCTGCAAGGACCTTCCCCAGGGGACGTTTTTTGATGTGTTATCATCCTTGTGGGAGGCTTCTCTCATGTCCCCGCATGAGGAGGAGTTGACAGAGGGAGCTCATCCGCGCTCTCCCCGGATTCGAACCTGCGACCTGTCGGGTCTGCAGTCCTGCCAGCACAAGGGTTTAACCCACCGCACCACAGGGGGCTCCAAGACTCATATAATCCTTTTTTTTTCATGTCAGGAGTGACTTGAGAAACTGCAAGTCTCTTCTGGTGTGAGAGAATAGGTCTGCAAAGAGGTTGCCCAGGGGGTGCCTGGGTGTTTTGATGTTTTACCATCCTTGTGAGAGGCTTCTCTCATGTCCCAAACGGGGAGTTGGAGCTGACAGAGGGAGCTCATCGGCTCCCGGCCTTCAGTCCTGCAGGCAGGGGGGCCTCCACTTCAAAGCAGATAATCTGGGATCAGATCCTGGGATATAGGGCAGTGTGGATCCTCTCAGGGTCTCCCTTACACTCCACACTCTTGACTATGAAGACAACCACAATCCTTAATCTTAAACCGCTTTTTAAAAAAGCACAGCTATCTCTGAAGGCAATAGAAACGTGTGTGTGTTTTAGGCCCCTTCTATACTGACATATAATCCAGATTATGAAAGCAGATAGAGAATTTGGTCTGATTACTTGTAATTTAATTTATTGATGTCAGATTTAATTTACTGATGTTAGGTCTTAATTTGATTTTAGGCTTTAAGGTTACTTTTATATGTGGGGGTTTTCTGGGATTTTATGTTAGTTTCCTGTGTTTTATGTAGGCATTGAATGTTTGCCATTGTTATGCTGGAATCCGTCCTGAGTCCTCTCGGGGAGAGAGGGTGGGATACAAATAAAGTTTTATTATTATTACTACTACTATTATTATTAATCCACATTATCTGCTTTGAACTGGATAATATTAATCTACACTGTCATATAATCCAGTTCAAAGCAGATAATCTGGATTTTATATGGTAATGTGTAAAGGGCTATAAAGGGACAGAAAAAAAACACACGTTCTTGATAGTGATCGCTCATCTTTCCTTAGAAGAAGCTTGTTGTGAGAACAGGAGTACCCGCCTCTAAAGGACATCCCCTTGTCTAAAGGGAACTGGAACTACTTGGTTTCGGTGTGTGTTTGTGTGATTTACCCAACCCATAGGGATTCTCTGCTGGTTTTCCAAGCCTTTCAATCGAAGACCACCAAATTCTGGTGATCTCTGGGGGACATATAGCAATACCATGAGGTTAAATTGGGGCACTGTGGAGACTGGAAGGAGATTCCATCTGAACATGAGGAGGAACTTCCTGACTGTGAGAGCCATTCAGCAGTGGAACTCTCTGCTCTGGAGTGTGGTGGAGGCTCCTTCTTGGGAGGCTTTTAAACAGAGGCTGGATGGCCACCTGTAAGGGGTGCTTTGAATGCAATTTTCCTGCTTCTTGGCAGGGGGTTGGACTGGATGGCCCATGCGGTCTCTTCCAACTCTATGATTCTAAGGTGGTGGGAAGCCAGACCTCCCCTGCTGGTCCAAGACAAACTCGGCTTTGCTTCG